CAAAACATGGACGCGCGTGCAGTTGCCGTACTGTATTAAAGCTTCAATCAGGATAAAACCGTATATTAAAAGCTAACATAAGCAGTAGCATTTACAAATAACAGCATATCTAAAAGTATGAGACCACAACAAACAAAAAACATAGGCCTACCATTAAAAGCCGTGCTTGCACAGGTTCTGCACAATCCTCTTCAATAATATCCTCTGCTTCTCAATCGGGCTCAAACTGATAAGCGATATTAACGACGCCATTGTTTACAATACAACCTGAGCACATGCCGCTGAGGTGAGGGGCGGGACGATTAGACACGCACTAGAGGCGGTTTAGCCAATCACAACACACTGGGCTAGCCTACCAATCAGAGCCCATCGCCTATTTCTGAGGTCGGGGCTTCATAAAAGAAGGAAATAAGGGTAACTCTGCGTATTTACACCGGCCAGAGAATGCCGTTTACACTAGCTAGTGTTAATCCTCTAAAATTCAACACCACAACTTTAACACTTTACTCTAAAAGTCCTCAAGACTAGGATTTCAACACTGGAGATTTTGCTGTGTTTAGTGTGTGACCCTGTAATAAGCGAGATAGCAATATACAGTCAGCCGGACATTATGGCGAAATAATGTACTTCAGGGTGATACAAGTCTGTACATTATTCCTGTACATCTCAAAACACCTATCTTGCAACACTTACAGGACAATATTCAACATGTTCAGTAAGTTCTACTTTTTGTTGGCTATATTACCTGAAAATAGCCTATCTATCGCTGTATGCTCCTTCTCTGCCAATACTGTGTACTAACAGAACCACCCTCATCGAAACTTAATTTTGTTTGTTGTAAGTATCCATACATGGCAATAATGGGTGAGCAAAAACAGCAAAATGCAGTCTTCCTCAGCTAGAGCATTTCAAAGCCTCTAATCAAGCTGATCTACAATCCTAAGCACAGCTGGACACAGTCTCTATTATGTATCTGATTTTGTTTACTAGTATCAACAGACAGACGTTTGCAAGTCTTTATAATGAAAACCATGCAAGTCAATCAACTGGCAGAGATCAAAGGCCAATGTAATTTTCCAAAATGGCCATAATACAAAGCAATCTTTTGTAATGTGAACTGCCTCGTCGGACTCCAAGCATACTGTACATGTCAGATAAATATTAAGTAATTTTCTTCAAATGCAACCTTGACAGGGGTTTGGAATTGCCAACCTGCAAGTAGTTATAATACTAGTGTTAAGTGCTTTGATATTAAAATGACTGGTTTAAAGCCATTAACTTTCTTCAGATAACAGGAAATGTGCAATTGTTCCCACATGTTGATACTTTGGGAAACTATTTGTTCATTGACAACATGTGACATGAAATTAAAACATTATCTGTGCTCCCTTGTATACAGAGAATTTTTATACATTTTCACGGGAATTTGGTGAAAATCCAAAAATGTGCACTTTATTGTAATTAATGCACAATAAACATTTATGCTTGGGCTTTTATATTTCTGCCCTGAATTTACAACTACTAAGCAGACCAGTCCACTTGATGGCACTGTTGAAATGAAAATGAAACAAAGTAATGGTTGTGAGATGTAAGATGAACTGCTAGAAGAAACAGGTCGAGAATCATATCAAACATGAACTTTCAATATATTCTTACCATTAAAAAGCATGCACTTCTTTCTCTGTTATTCTTTATATTGGCTTTGTTTGTTTGCATTTTAAAAGATACATTCTGAAATAATGTCCAGTTCAGAGTATATAAAGCCAGTTTGACTTGTGAGTTACCCACGAAGCCTTTGACGAATATCATAGCTAAAGCACAGTTATACGTAATTCAGTGATTGTGTTTTGTGATATTAAATGTGACTGCACTGAGGTATCCGCAAGATCCAAGGTTTGTTGTGGTCAAAATCCCATGTGCTCTGGCAGCAGCCTCAGTCAGTCAATCCATGAGCACATACTCATTGAGGTGTGGACTGTGAGAAGTGAAATATTTCATGACAGGGCTTTCATCCAGACCTCTGATGACTCTTTGTTGTTATTTCTGAGTTGTCCCAGTGGACCACTCTTACCTTGCAGTCTGCTGGCTGCATCTCATAAACACACACATACATACACACACTGTTCACTTCAAATGTCTTGCATGCCATGTTCTCTGTCATGTCACGCACCTTTATACTCTTTCATTCTGTTTGAAAAAAAAAAAAAAAACACGAACAAACAACAGTAACATGTATCTAAGAATGTTGTGTAGTTAATTTTATGTTTATTTAAAAAAAAAGGACTTTTCTTGTTAGTAAATTAAGGAATCTAGGCAGTCATTTATTATTAACCTCTAGACTTATTTTAAACCTCTAGGCTTCATGTTGCGATAATTTCTTAAGTTTTTATCACGTGTAAGGTATTATCACGATAATGCAAATAAGAGTTGTTAAAATATAACAGGTTTAATAGTTTTTTTTATATAACAAAAAGAACTGGTCATTTAAATACAATAAAGCAATACATAAATAATTATAAAGAACAATAGGTAACACTTTACAATAAGGTCTCATTAGTTAACCTCAGTTAATGCATTAACATTAACAATGAACAATGGCTACATTTGTTACAGAAGTTATTCTTTGTATACACAATAATAACAGCTGTTAGTTCGTTAGCTCAGGCCCATTAAACAATACAGTTACAACTTTTGATTTTAATTACATGTTATAAATTAACTAAGATTAAGAAATGCTTTAGAAGAATTTTCATTGGCAGTTTATGTCAACTAATGAATTAACTAATGTTACATAATGGAGCCTTAGTGTAAAGTGTTACCGAACAATAAAGAATCAAAACATTTTCAAACAATGTCTAGGGCATGTTGTAGTCCAGATTAAAATGTAAAAAAAAGTATGAAAATAAATAGCATAGTCTAAGACTTTAAGTATTCAGTGTTGCGATGAACACAAAAATCTGAATGGCTGTTTAAATCATTTAAATCCTTTAAATGCTAAAGGGTTACCGGGTTAACGACTGCATTTTTGCTGTTTCATCATCGCCATCTGCTGTCAGAGAGTGAATGTGCATTTTCATTCAGCGTGTCTCTTTCACTCGTTCGGCCATGCCTTTCTCATCTGTGTTGGGCTTGTTTACATCACAGTGGTGTGTGTCTTTGATGCAGCATACAGCGGTGTTGTGCATTTTAACCAGCTGATGGAAGAAGTATTCTTTAAATGCATTCTAAAAAGCTGAACAATTTGTATTAAATAATTATTCACGGTATTTTGAAGTGTATACCATAACAATACCGTGTATGGTAATTATCGTGATATATCGTATTACCGAATACCAACACATGTCTACTCTAAACAGTCATTATTTAAATATTCTAAAAATGATTTGAAAAATGTTTGTAAAAATATTTTTCCTTATATAATAGTTCAATATAATAGTAAGGTCCTCTATTTTATATTGTATTTATTCTTTTTTAATATCATGATCAGCAAACTGTGAAAAAAACAAAATCAGCAACATGTAGGCCTATCAGTACGGGTGTTGGGTCTTTACTTTAATGTTTTTTTTAAGATAGACTTTTCTTGTTAGTAAATTAAGGAATGTTTTGACTTCTAGACTAGTGAATTAGTCATGTATTAAATATTATTGTATTGTTTTAAAAATTATTAAAAATTTTTTTTCCACATTTTAGAATAATAGTAAGGTCCTTTATTTTATGTTGTATTTATTGTTCTTTAATATCGTGACCCACAAACCGCAAAATATTAAATAAAATACAATAAAATAAAACGTTTTGTAAAGAACTATGCACTGTCTACTATGCTACAGAAACAATGCTAATGCAGAATTATTAATGATTCTTATACATTTGGAGTGTTTTTTTCGTATGCTTCTATTGAATCTCCTGTTTCTACTATGACCATAAAGGTAAATATAAGCCATTTCAGCATCAGAAAGCAAACAATAATGAATTCCCATTAAAAGAAAAGAGAAAAAGAAACATGCACTATTACAAGAACTATGCAGAACAGCACTTGATTCAAGCCGATAATGTTACGGAGAAAGGTGTGACATATACAGTACCTTGCACCTTAAAGGAACTAGTGGTTAGTGTGGTTAACTCACAATAAGCATGTTTTTGCTCAGCTGCTTTTGTCATCTACTCTGCAAAATGTCAGTGATGACCAAACCTGATAACTGACTAAAAGTAGGTTTGGAAAGTGACCAGTACTGTTACATTGATGATATTAATGAACATTTAATCTGAATATCCACTGAATTCTGCAGGTCTGCTAATGCAGATGCACTTAAATGTATTATTCAAAGCAATATAGATCAGTGAACGCGGCATCTCTTGTAGCACAACTACTCCGCACTGTTGACATTGACCCTTTTTGTTGACCTTTACTGTGCTCTTGCCTCAAACAAACTGCCACTGATCATCACTCGCAGTCATGTTGACTTTCAAAAGCTGTTTGTTTGATTGTATGTAAGTCAGGTCAAAGCAAACAAAACAACTGTCACTTTCTTTTCTGCCGGTTGTTGCAGTGGCGTATTGGCCCCGACATGTTCCAGTGCCTCTGTTAAAGACCAGTGGTGTCATTGCAGTGTTGACGACGGTCACACATCACAGAGCTCCACTTTTGAAGCGCAAATAGGTGACCCTCCACCTCAGTCCCACGTCTCCCTCTTCTTCTCTCTAGCAACAATAACAATCAATTCCTCAACATCAGAAGGTTCCGAAGAACGACTTATAAATCATATGCATCCCTGCTGGTCTCTTGGCGGCCAAGTTGACTTTACTGAAGCGTTTCTTTGATCCTGCACTGCTTTGATTCACTTTTCTCTCACCCTTTTAGCTAAACATATCATTGGAATTTCGCTCTTTGTTCCTGACAGGTCTCGTCTTAGCTCGGTTTCTCTGCAGACACGCAGCCCTTCCCAGAGGGGGAGAACTGCTCAGACGAAATCGAGTTCTGCTCAAAGATTTATCCTCATCTTTTGAATCGACGCTCTCTTTTCCCCTTCACTCCCTACCTTGACATGTCCGTCCTCTCTGTGGCACAATTGAAATGACAAGGTTGGTGTGGTAAGTGTCATTCAACGTTTCATAAATGCTGAGCACTAGTCTCATTAATCTCTATTACAAGCAGAGATCTCGAAAGAACGGTGGGATGCAGTGGATTTCTGAAACTAAGGTTCTGTGTGCATTTATGGTCTGTTGAGACAGTCTTTGTGATCTCAAGAATGTACATGTAAAATATGTATTAGTATTATGAAATATCCAAATTAACTCCTTTGTTTGCCTTGACATTTTTTGAATATATTCTCTTGACTTGATCAAAACCCATTCAATAGATATTATTAAAGCTTGAATTGTCTATAAACATATAGGGACGCACTTCTTGAATTATACATACATTTTTCAACATACAGAAACATTATAAAATATTTTTTCTCAAGTAAAAAACATAGTAGAAAAAGTTTGAAAAAAAGATTGAAAGTAAATGAATGAACCCAAGTGTATGTAATGCATTTTTCAAATAAGATGCTTGTTACATGCATGTTACAGGTGAAATTTTGTTTATAATCATAAGATTAGGAAAAGTCATAAAGTATCAACCTGATTATTAAATGTTAAGTATGTTTTTTAAAATTATTATTATATGAATAGAACGCTTAAGCAGAACCTGGGAATGTTTTTTTTTTTTTTTGCAAATAATTAGATAAATAAACAAAACAATTAGTGTACTGGAAGGATTTTTTGATGAGATATGACAAGAGGGTAAATAAACACCAACTCATTTCCTCTTTTGACTTTGAAATATACACTCTGTGTGCAAAAACATGATCATTATCTATTACAAAACAACAGCTCCAGGCTCATAAATGTGACTGTTCACACGTACACTTCCCATGCACCTGCTTTTGTGTGGTAATTAATATCCAACATCTTATATGTGCAATTCACGATAAATAAATTGTCTTTACTGCATGTATTTTATTAAGCCTTCTATAGCTAGATCATAAAGATTATTATCAAGCTGCTTGCAAGGTTTGGTTAATGAGACAAGTAATGTGATTCACTTTTTTAACTTACAGTTTATAATATTACCAACATTTTGAACAGCTGTGTGCAGTTGAAAAATGTTTATGTTACAGAAAATTACTGTTATTAGAAACATGGAAAGGTAAATATATACTGTATTTATTCATAACACTTGATTTTAATTATTTGTGGCACAGTCACAACACCATCTGCTGGAAGGATTTTGTGATTGCTAATTGCAGAAGTCTAGTAAGCATTGTGATGTTGAAAGTTTTAAAGATCTTGCAAAAATAATTCAGTAAAAGAAAAATAGTAAGTGAAGTGTATTAGCCTGCTATCTCTCTGACCCTTGATCTCTTCCTTCCTCTCTCTGTGGTTGGTTCTGTGGATATCTGCTCTTCAACTCTACGTGATCAAGAGTTTGTGATGAGACTTTCTGATAATCTGTTGCGGACTTAGTTATTAAAAAAAAAAAAAAAAAAAAATATACAATGACAAAATACCAAATAATGGCATTTGGTTAAAAATAACCAAATAACTTTAGATTAGTATTGGTTTTAGCTATCATCCATTAAAAGAAGTGAAGCCCTGGCTTCTTTTTAACATCTGTATATTGATCGTTTTACAAGGAGCAAGAAAACATTAAAGTTCTCTTCTGTAGCATCAAAGAACTGAAAGTTTCCCATAACTGGGTAAAATCACCAACAATAACTTCTACAAAAAATCTACTGGAGTCCCAAGAAATGAATGTGAAATGAATAAGAAAGAATTTAAAACAAAACAACTGATGTGACAGAGTTCAAATCAAATCCCTCCCTCAGACTACACTGAACCACTGACTAAGAAGTGTGGTTAAGAGGATGGAAAGGAAATGAGTGGAGGAACAGCAGGGTTTGGTGATTCAGGTGCTATAAATTGTATCACCTTTTCCTCTGTGCTCTAAAGAATGAGACATCTTCATTGACAAGTAACTGAGAGAGGGACTTATCATGAACAGCTGGAGTGTGTATCACCTGGTAGTCCTTGCCTTGCTCTTTGCTTCTGAGTCTAGTGCTGAGTATGATGATGGTGATGATGGTTATTATCAATATGGTGAGTATTTTTTTTCTTCAGTACTTTAGGCCCTTAACTGACAGAACAAATATTTAATATTTGTTTAAAGCAATTTTCAAATAAGTTGATTACTCATTATTTTCATGTGTATCTATCTATCTATCTATCTATCTATCTAAGAACTTGTAGAAAGTTTTGTAGCTGAAGAGCATGAGAAAAGACTTTGCAAAGTATTATGAGAATAACCTAAAAAGTCCCCCAGAAGCATGATTATTAGACTCACCACAAACACGTGTTTTCCAGTGTAAAGGTCATACGTTTAATTTTTAGGAATGGAGCGTATGACAAGCACTTTCTTGTCAGTATACATTTAGACATATCTGATGATGATGATAAGCTTGCTGATAAGTATAGCGATGCATCATGGTGCATGAGCTGTCTGGAGAGCCACATCAAAAGGCCTGAGGAGGGGGAGGCGTTCAAATGAGCTGGTATATCCTGTATACCCGACAAAGATTCACATCAGATCATGTTCATTACGTAAAAACCCCATGTTTTCGCAATAATGTTATTCATTCAGTCAATTTTATACTGTAAACTCCAACCCAGTCTCATAAAAATACGTACCTCTGTGTACATTTCTGCAACACCGTTTTTACGTACCTTACTGCACGTTTCGCCGCAGTTTCAAAGAGAAATGTCCACTGAGTGGCGCTAAAACACGGGTTCAATACGTCCACCCTGGCACGTTTTTATTACGTTGATATAGATACGTATTGCTGTTTTTATTGCGTTTCTTCAGGTACGTATTGCGGCGATTCAGAATTCAAATATCCGGGGACTGTCGCTAAAAGTTAATGCTCTGTCGTGTTGGAAATATGCCCTACACCAAACCCAACCCTAAACCTACCCGATAGTGTTAACAAATGCAAAACTGATATAAAAACACATTTTCTGATGCAACCGTGCCATTTTAACTT